GTGTAGACAAATTCAAGTGAGACTATTAAAAAAAAATTATAATCGAGCCCCATCCAGTCGTGGTGCTGAACTATGGGTCAACTCAAGTTAATGCACGCGTTTCACAACGTAAACAAGGGCGCCTATGTAACAAGGTCTTTTCCAGGCGTGTACCTTTTCATTCGCCTGTACGTAAGTTGAAGTTTTTTTGGGGTTTTTTTTCTGTATATTTGAATATTTTTTTTTTTTTTAAGAAATAGAAATTGAATAATATCATTAAATTTAAAATTGTTAGTATTACTAGCTATGGTAGCGTTGTCTTTAAATACTGATTTTATAACGTAACATAGACTGGACTATAAACAGATGAAAACAGATTTTGTAACAGATTTAATTTCAAAACCATTCAACGGTATGTAACGCTACAAAAACACCACCAAAGGACATCAGAAATGCATATCGACTTTATTCCAAATTTGAACTTTTGTGTATTTTTAGGCAAATAATAAAAACAAAAATTACTAGCATATACGTTTATTCAAAGCAATACATATATGCATATATACATCAACAGAATTAATAAGCAGAGACTTTCAACAAACAAATATCGTTAAACGCCCAAAGTCCAAATCCAAGAGAAAGACTCAATAAAAAGTTGGTGGCTACAAAAAGTTTCATCAAAAACAACTAGATATTTTTTTTTTGTTCTCTTCTGTATAGTGCAGTGGTTCTCAACCTTCATAATGCCGCGACCCTTTAATACAGTTCATCATGTTGTGGTGACCCACAAACATAAAATAAAACTTCGTTGCTCCTTCACAAATATATGTTTTCAGATGGTCCTAGCTGACCCCTGTGTAAGGGTCGTTCAACCACCAAAGGGATCGAGACCCACAGGAGAGAACCGCTGGTATAGTTACATCATATTTGATAATAATACTAAATCAGAGTGGGCAAAATACAGCCCGAGAATTCCCCCTGCAACGGGATTAAAGTTTACGTAAAATGAACACATTGCCGAATGATTATCTGTAAAAACCTTAAATAGCATTAATTATAGCATACGCTTGACCAACTGTAATAATAATAATCACAATTTTAAACAAAATATATTTCACTTTTTATTTTTAACAGAGAGCTTAGTGAATGTTCGAAGCGACTATTAGTTTACATTAAAATAGATCGACCATTCTCTGAAAAAATCAAGCAACCATGTCAAATGATTTCATAATTTTTTTAATATAACTGATAAAATTAGTAGCACGATATTTCCAAGCTTAATTCCTCTCTACACGTCTACGATATAATTTTGTGTCTGAGATATAGAACCCTTCTTGGCTTGAGCTGGTTTTTTTTTAAATTTTAAACAGTAAAATTTCACAGGTTTAAAAAAAAATAAAAAAATATTTGAGTTATTATTATTTTTTTCTTTTTAAAGTTTGAAAAAGAAATAAGGAAGAAAATAACTGAACACGAGGGTTACCGCAAATTTGTTTGAAAGACATTTCGTCGACAGAAAATTGATCGCATTTTTTTTTCAAGGCCACACGATCAAATTTTGCGTCCAATTTGATTTTGGGCGGATTATTTTGTTTTACTTTATAGTACAGTGCGTTCAAAAGAAATTTAACGAACATTTGATCGTGTCAACTGAAAAAAAAAAATTCGACCAAACTTCCGTTCGATCAAATTTCCGTTCGATCAAACTTCCGTCGATCGATTTCCCGTCGACGAAATGTCTTTCACACAAATTTACGGATACCGAATACGAGTGTTGGGACTTCGGACAAAGACCGGACATTAATTTTTTTTATTTTCATCGATCTTAAAACGTGTGTAATATTTCGGGAGTATTTGTCCGTTTTCAAAGAGTATAACCTCGGATGACGTTTTCAGAATCACCAAGGATATTTTGATATCAATTTCAATAAAATCAAATTTAAGCACAATTAATCGCAAATTTAAAAAGAGGCAAACAGCTTTTGTTAAGTCGTCATCTGTTTGGGCAAGCCGAATCAAAGGCAGGCTAAACAAATGCTAGTTTGTTCACCGCTCTAAATATCACGAATAGCAATAAACCGTTTATTGTGAACCAGTTGTTCTTCTTACCCTGTAGGTTTATTTTTTAAAAATTTTTTTTTGGTATTTCTAAACATTTAAGAAACTTTAAAAACCAGATCGTTTTACATTCTATCGTTTAAAAAGAAAAAAAAGACACATCCACACTTTTTATATCCTTAATACTAATTTCGCTTTTATTCGAGGGTGGCTGTCAAAATCTTCGGGCCGCTAATTGACCTACTTCCCGTCAACGTCTCGAGCTGAAGCTCGGCTCATAAACTCGATGCCGATGTCAACACATTGTATACAATGTTCAACCCCACTCCAATTACCCCAAAAATACCTTTTCCCGTTTTTTGTTTTTTTCAAGGGGTACATGAAAAAAAATTCCCGATAACTGCGCTAAATGGGATTCTTTTCTCTTTTTGATGTATGCCAAGTGGGTTTGGTGCGTAATATTTTCTTTTGTTTTTTCTGACAATGTTTGTGAAATAATTCTTCGATGTGGAAGCGGGTGGGTCATTAGAAGATTAATAGAGTTCAGGGGCGTGACATGAATGTGCGGATGCGGACCTTGGTCGGGAAAGGGGGGGGGGGGGAAGCACTTTTTGGGATTTTTTAAAAAAGCGTTACATGTGAACATGTTTTGTCAAATTTTCAGCCCCACCTCCCCCCCCCCCCCACCACACCCCATTGCTAGATGATATTCTTTAGAGAATTTATACGAAAAACATTATTTTAGTGGTTGTTGGATACAAGATCAAAACAGCCCAACATCTGGCCAGGAAACCGTGTTTACGCATTCACATTAAATGATCAAATCACTTTGCATCAATGACATCTTTTGATCAGTCTCTAACTAATTTCTATTAAGTAACAAAGTGACAAAGCCTGCGGAGAGGGTGAGGGTAAAATAAATTCCAATCATTTGAATCAGTGATGTCACTAGGGTTGATGTCACCCAGTGTGGTTAACGCATATTCCGGATTCCCCATGGACCTTTTCCAAGTAGGCCTACTCTGGTGGCATCTTGCTCTGGTGGTACCCTACTCTGGTGAAATTTTTTTCTTATTCTATATCTTAAGGGCCCAAGATCAATTTATTGATCATGTTGGCTCCTATGCATGTAGATGGGATTTGCAATGTTTCTGTTACTGGTGTTGATGAGGAAATTTCACTGATTTCCAGTGCCACTCTGTGAGTGAATCTTGCTCTGGTGGTACCCTACTCTGGTGGCTCCAGTGGCGTAGCTAGGGAAGGGG